ACTTCCAAAATTGGGCTAAGGAAACAATATTTTTTTATCTGGCGTGTCCCTCCCATGTCCAAAACGTGTCCCCACGTGTCTGAAATTAAAATAAAAAATTTAATATTCGGACACTTTAAATTGCGTGTCGGACACGTGTCCGGAGTGTGTCCGGACGTATCCGTGTCCGACACAGACACTCCTCATTTTTTGCCGTGTCCGTGTTTTATAGCTGAAAACAATTCCTTATGTAAAGGAGAAGAAGGAGAGAGTAGTCTAGATCAGGACTTAACTAAGAGGAGACCCGATGAATCAATTTTCCAACCCATCGAGTCTTCAAATCTCCCAAAAAAGTGAGAGGCTGTGGTGTAACCAATGACAGAATTATGTTTGTATTAAGAATATTCAACCTCCAAATGGAGGTGAGGACTCTTATTTATAGAAGAGGAGTCTCGGACAGGAATAAAGAAGTAAAATAGCCGTTTGGCTTTTAATTCATTATTCAAGCTAGCAACTAACCAACTAATAAAACAGCTAACTAATATTAATGCTGATGAGGATTACATCAGGTTGAATAGAAAATTATCTATATATATGATTCTTATTCCATCCTCTAGATTCAGATGTACAGTTGTAGCCCTTGATTCAAAGCCCATCCCAGTTCCTGTCTATTTTATGGTCGCATCATGTTACTGTTTCCTTTTTATTTTTATATGACAATCAAGTCTGCACATCGAAAACAGATTGTAGATTTCTGCTGTGGTGCAAATGATTTTAGTGTTCTAGTGAAGAAAAAACTTGATGAGACGGGGAAACGATGCTCATACAAAAACTTTGACTTGATTCCACCGAAGGTAGACCTACCCCAAACTTTTACATTTCAAGTATATAGAGGTCAACCCGTTAGGGTCAAAACTTTGTTAATCTGTATGGATATAACATGGCGATTTTGTGTTTTAAGCTGTCATTATTTTAATGCTGTTTTGATTGTGTTTTTGGGCCGACTTTCCCATCCCCATGGAAAAGAAAAAAGATGTAAAAATATTTTATAAAGTTAAAACATAAATGTACTTTCATTGAAGTATCAATTTAGTCCATAAGCTTTTATATGGACTTCTACATGTAATGAATTAGTCTATGTAGTTTAAAAATTGTAATGATTTAGTGTTTATAGTTTAAAATTTGTAATAATGTAGTCTGTGCCATGAAAAATTCTCATTAAGGTGTAGTGAAATTTGTTACGTGCGCAGATTTGCTTAGTGCATTTTGAAATTACATGTAATGAATTGTTATATACCAAAATAAATACTTCAAGTTGACAAGATTTTTCACGCTAAGGACCAAATTTTATACTATAATTAGTAAATTGCTACATACTAAAGTTGAAGGATTAAATTGTTACAAATTTAGAACTATTGTTACAAATTTTAATTTTTTTTTGATGAGAAGCAATATTTCATTGATGGTATGAAATATACAAAAGGCCAAAAAGACAATTACAAGTGCAAGAACCAAATATTAAAATGAACATTGTGTTGCTTTAATGGAGAACGCGCCGATCTTATTTGATCAAGGCATTTAATTATTCTCTCATGATAGCTAGTTATTTGTTTAGCATGGTTATTATTTTCTGTAGACTTTTGAACTCTTTTCCTCAATGAGATTAGCATCTATGATCAGACTTTTGCGTGTTTCTCTTCATATCGGTTCGGTTGCATGTGACTTGTTGTCTTTCGTTTATAGTATTTATTTGTTCATCTTGATTGCTGGATGTCGGTTTCACACCATTTTTTCTTGCAGAATGATTTTAGTTTTGAAAGGAGGGATTGGATGAGTGTGAAACCCAAGGAACTGCCTAAAGGATCTCAATTGGTGAGAACAATTGCTTTCTGTTTCTGGTTTCTTTTTTTAAGATATCTTTTTAGTACGTACGAGTAATTTAAGATCTCAATAGGTGAATTAAAACTTTTAAAAATTCACATGAACCAAGATTTTAATTTATTTTCATTAGCGAGCATGTAAAATTTTAATTAGTTACTAAAATTTAAGAAGTGAAGTGTTAGTAGAATTCAAGCGGGGTTATAAGATTGAGTGCCAAATATATGAACTACTTTTGATTTATTTAAGTGTACAGGAAGTTATGAATTTTCTTTGTACTTAATAATGATTACAGTACACAATAATGTTCATTCCATCAAAATTGCTAGGGTAACGAATAATCACATGAATTTTTTTTTATATATTAATAATCATTGCTCAAAATCAAATATTATGGATTAGATCCAAATTAACTTTTTATCTCTTTCCATACGCCTGGTGAATTTAATTTTTCCCCGAAGTATGTGAGACACTGATATTTAGATATAGTGGAAAATTTTCTTTATCCCATAACATTCTTATGCATTCTCAACTAAAGTATAAATAGATTATTTTCTTAGTTCGAAATAGGTGCTTTGAATTTTTTGTCTTTTCAAGTACAATTAATTAGTAAACCATACATGTACAAACTATTACTTTTTTACAAGATTATTTGGCTTATACTTTATCATATTAATCAAATAAAAAGGTTGACAGCCGATTTAAACTACGAGTTTCTTTGGCAATGTACGCACAAGTTGACCCACGGATATACGGATATAAAGAAAAAATAGACAATTTTTTTTCAATGTTAATATAATTAATTAAGCAATGATTTATATATGATGGCAATTGACATACATGTTTGGATCTCTGTGGCTTACTATAAAATGTATCCGACTGCCTTCCTTATGTAGATCATGGGGCTGAATCCTCCATTTGGAGTTAAAGCTTCCTTGGCCAACAGATTCATTGACAAGGCTCTCGAGTTTAATCCAAAGCTCCTTATTCTTATTGTTCCTCCTGAAACTGAGAGGTAATGGTGGTTAGCTCTCTCCCCCACCATTTTGTGGCATATTTTTTAAGAAAGCACGTGGTGAATTTGTTATTGATTCATCCTCTTTTGTCTACTTTCAGATTAGATAAAAAAAAGACTCCTTATGACCTGGTCTGGGAGGATAATACATTTTTGTCAGGAAAGGTATATGGAAAGATCCTGTTGTAGTTTCTTAAACTTATTCATGAGATCGACTCTGATCCGTTCCTTCCTTTTCAGTCGTTTTATCTTCCTGGATCCGTTGATGTGAAAGATAAGCAGATGGATCAGTGGAATGTCAGGCCACCCTTGCTATATTTGTGGAGTCGTCGTGACTGGGCTGACAAACATAAAGCCATCGCGCAAGAGCATGGTCATCTCTGGCCGAGGAAACTGGAATCGGAAGAAGGGAAGACTTTTGATACTTCAAGGGCGAGGCAACCAGAGGAGTCTAAAAAGGGTAAGAGTTCTGATTTGTCAAGGCATTGGCAACAAGAGGATTCAGGAAAGGGAAAAGGTTCTGAAGTGTTGAGGCCTAAGCAACTGGAGTCGGAAAAGGGCCAAAGGTCTAAAACATCGGACGATCATATTCATGTCAGTGATACATTGCTAGCAGATGAACCAGAAGGTTCAAGGAATGGATCGGTTGTCTCTGAAGTTCATAAAAGTGGGTCCTCGAAGACGACAAAGAGGGATAGCGATAGAGAGAGCCATGACAGTCGAGAGCATCGTACTAATCTGTCTCCTGAGGCTCCGAGTAAGAGGAAACGTTTTGAAGGAAAAGCTAGAAGAGGAGAGGGTGAGTCATCAGAAGAGAGCACACGTGATGTTAAAAAGCCTTCTCTAAATGAGATCTACCAGGGGCCTCATGCTTCTCCAAATGTTAGTGATCATAAATATTCTTTGGATGGTTTCTTGTCCAAGTCTGTTGAGATGCCTCCATTTACTGAGGTGGGAGTGATCGGTCATCAGCAGATGGGATTGACGATGCTCAGCAGGAATACCAACTTGGTAGCTGCTTATGATGCAGCACGAAGCAGCTCGACCGATGACATTGCCCGGAAGTACAACCTCAATGCTGAAGAGCCCAATCGAATTGGGACCAGTGGATGGTCAAACAATGTAAGTCCTATTTCTGATATTGGTTCTAGACACTTTGAAGAACGTATCATCAATCAAATGCGAGGACATGTCGATGGCCTTAACTATAAACCCTACACTAGCAGGCCTGAAGGGTACATGGGGGACTCAGAAATACGATCGCATATTCATCGTTACGGGCACTCAGGTACTGATAATTTGAGAAGCAATTATCAAGCAGGACTTGATCCTGGGTATAGCAGGATTGGGTCGTTCCCAGCTACTTATGGGCATCTGGGTGCACCCCCCGAATCATCCTACTGGAGTAACACTTCAGCAACGCAACGATATGCACCTCGACTCGATGAGTTGAACCACACTAGATTGGGTGGAATGGGAGCTGCGCATCAGCTGAATGGCAGCAGCGCTATCGATCCGAGAGCACACCTACCCTCCGGTTATAGGGGTGCGCCACAGGGGTTTGCTTCCGGTCCTCAATACCCGTATTCAAACCATAATTCAGCTGGTTGGCTTAACGAGTAGGTACGATACTCGGAATCTATTAACGTTCGCCTTAACGCTTACTGCATTTTGCATTTTTTGGCTAACAAACTACATTACTGGATGGGTATACACTACTGAACGATCGTGTAAATGGCAGTTTATTTGTTTGGCTATTTTGAATAATATCCTTAAGAACAGTTTAGTTTGAAAAATAGCCTTATTGTTGGCTCTGGTCTGTATAACTATATTGTAACTTTAATAACGATCGCTGAAACTAACAGATTGTTTCTTTTGAAATCTGACCCCAATCTTCTATTTCAAAATTCTTAGGCTGAATATGCTATTTATCCCTGATTTTTAACTCTGTATTAAAATATATATGAGTTGGGAATTCGTACAATAACGTTACTCAACTATTTCAGAACAATTTATAGTAAATTTTAGGAAATCTAATCATTTAAAGTGACAACAATTTATAGAAATTTTATAGGTACATAAACATCAAAATTACATAGATTATTAATATTAAAACGATAATATTAAGGAATCATATCCATGACGTGACTCGCTTGAAACACAAATCACAAGAATTTTTATTTATTTTTTTTTTGAGTATTTTGGTAATTAACCTGTCAAATAATGAGGATAATTGCATTGAACACTTTCTAAATTTGGTGAATCATTTGATAATAAAGGTAGATATCTTGCTTAAAAAAAAGGGGTAAATATTTACATTAAAGGACTACTAATTCATTTTTTACAACATCCGGAGATACATTACAATTGAGCTATATGCTCATTCTTTAGCAAATGGCTATTAAATCATTAAGAAAATAATATATTTAAAAATATATATAATAAATGTAATAACTAATAAAATGATACTTATTGTGAGTAATTTGGGAAAAAAAATCCTTCAAACCTCGAAATCTATATTCGTAAATATTTATAAGAATTAACATTTGTGAAATATGACCCAGTAGAAATAATTTTTAATTATTTTACCGCGTAACAAATTTGTCAATATTTCCCCTAATTTTGGACATTATAATTTCTATATATATATATCATAAAAGAAACTAGTTAGTTGAAATTGAATTCCTAAATTTTTACTTGGTTTATTTTAATTATTTGATTGCTTCTTTTATTGACATATTTTAATAATTTAATTTATTTGATAAACTATTATAAAACTCACCATACATGATTCCGTGTGATATGAATCCTCACTATTATTAAACTAGGAATCTAAATTTGTATTGTATTTATTTGAATTATGTAGAGAAATGAAAAAGAAAATTTAGTTTGTGGTTTGTAGAAATACATCGTTTGAATTTGGTTAAAATATTATTTTGGTTCTTATTCTTCTAACTTTGGTTCATTTAGGAATCTGCACTTTCAAAATATTTATTCATTTTTGTATCTATACTTTCAACTTTGGTTTATTTGAGTTTCTATATTTTTAAAATATTCATTTTAGTATTTTTTTTTTAAAAAAGTGACCATTTTCATCCATATTTTCAAACTTCTAACACAAATTTTACACATCACGGAAACCATTTAATATAAAGTCATGGCTATATTTAAATAAATATATTGAATGTAGTGTCGTGCTGAAATTGTGATAGAAAAAATGAGATTGAAAATAAAATTAAGGGACCAAAATGTTACGTTTTAAAAATATAGGGACCAAAACAAATATTTAAAAGATATAAGGTCTAAAATTAATCAAAGTTGAAACTACAGAAATCAAAATGAATATTTTAAAAGTACATGAAGCAAAGTTGAAAGGAGATCGTCAAAATAATATTTTAACCTTCTAATTTTAATGTTATTATTATTTTGGTACTGTAACTTGGAATGAACAAAATTATATAACAATTGTAAGCATACTTTTAAATATCAGTCGACATGTCGACATATTCATGTTTTCATGGGTTCGACATCGATATGAGGAGTAAATCGATTTTCCATCATATTACAAGAAAATCGACAAAATAAAAAAAATATCAACAAAATGTCATTAATATATACATAATATTAATATTAACTATTTTTAACTAATTTAGAAATAGGAAAATGTTTATTTTTATTAATTTAAATATTTTTTATGAATTTTCATTTTTCTAACTTTTATAAAAATATCTATGAATACCAATATTTTATCAATATTTTTATAAAATTGAGATATCGGCATTTTCTTTCATATCGACATTGACATTTAAAACGTTATAAGATCCGACTCATGAAATTCATCGAAAAGTGTGCAAATATTCCCCTATTCTCCTTTGCAAAATAATAATAATTTTAATATTCCCCTATCCATAATTTTGTTCCTTCCCTAGTTTGTTCCATCCTTCCCTGTTTGGCCACTTTTTTTTTTCTTTTTAATTATCATTCACTCCTCTTAATATATGGTCATTATTTTTTTTTTCATATTACTATTAACTTCTTAGGAGGAGTGACTTAACCGGTTAAGGTTTGAAGTTCAAGTTCTCATATATATATATATATGACCTAACTTAGATTACATAAAGTTTTTTAGAATGAGAAAGAGTGAATTTGTAATGATAAAAGCAAGCATAAACAGTAATTGACATATATTTTCAATCAAGAGGTTATGAATTCGATCCACATCCCATAAGTTGTACTAAAAAAAGTGAGTCTGTAATGACTTTTCAAAATTTTCACTAGATTTAGAATACATATATAATCAAAAGTTGTTTAAACATTTCTTAAAATATAATTAAAAATTAGAGCACTTAACACGTGTATCATTAATATGAAACGAAGATGAAACAACATTGAACAAATTACATAGATTAAAATTTCTCACTTATCAAATTAGGTAATTATAATATTCAAACTAAATCATCCTGAGTTGGCTTAATATTATCAAATTAGGTTATTATAATATTCAAACTAAATCATCGTGAGTTGACTTAATAGTTATTAGGGGCCGTTTGTTTTTTTGGAAATTCAGATGTCTGACATCTTCAGATGACCACGTTTGTTTCGTAGGAAAATATATAAGGATGTCTGAGAATATCTAAAGAGCCACGTTTGTTTTGCAAGATTTATTCTGATGGAAAATATAAATACATGCGCAGCGGAAGTGAGCAAAGATCGAAATAACAATCTAGATGCATAATACAACCTAGGATTAAATATGCATGATCATACATTATAATGCTTAGAGAAAAGTAGAGAAAAATATGTAGCTTTTCAAATTTTTTCAAATAGCTCTAATCAGGACCACCGAGAGATCTTCCTATTCTCAAGGCTTGGAATAGAGTGGTGGGATTCTTTTTAGAGAAGGAAAAATTGAGAGAAATATGAAGCTAAAATGAGTTAGGTAAGCTTTTTGAAAAACCTCAAATGGCCAAAGGTTCCAAAAGATTTCAATGTTTGAACAAAGACCTTTTAAATAGGCAAATTACATGCAACTCTTGCATGTCAAAGTTCACCAAAAGCTTATGATACATATTTCACTCATGTATGACATGGCTAAGTGTCAAAATGCATGTTTAAGTTTACCAAAAGCTTACAACACACATTCCACCAACTTGATTAAAAACATTATTTTAATCTTCTTAGTCAACCTTTGACTTTCTCTGGTCAAAGTCAACTATTTGACTTTTTCTGAAATCCGACTGTTTGACGAAATTCATGCCTCAGATTATGAATCCGCATTAATAATTTTAATATTTAAATTCTATTTAAATATTTTGATCAAATTTCTCAATTTGATATCATATATCAATTACTTAATCATATCTCATATGATTAACCTAATTCGTACCATTTGAATTATTCCTTCAAATTATTCCATGTTTATTCCTATATGAGCTAGTTAGGGGACCTTATGGACCTACAAATCATGAGCTCCAACCATCCGAGAGTAATCGGTTAAACTCTTTAACCTAGTTAACCAACATTCGTTAACTATCGGGTCACTCCACTAAAGCTCGTAGCTGCACTCTCCTCACTGTAGATATATTATGTCCATTTGATATAACCATGATCGGTAAGTCGATCCTTCACAGGTTGTTCGTAATTACAGCTGGGTCAAAATACCGCTTTACCCCTGTAATTACCTCCTATGCCTTAAGTCCCACTGATCCTCTAATGCACAATGATTTGTAGTCCAACTATTAAATCAAAAAATCCTCTCAAACCTTTTGATGAAGGTGGCGCCAATTGTTCAAGACTTAGATTGAGCGCTTAAGAGAACAACCTCTCTACTATCCCAAAATTAGGTAGAAGTGAATTCCTTATTGTACCCTATGTCCCTAACTATCTACCGGTTCTTATCTATGAAATGGGAGGTTTATTGAGCCAGCGCTGTTGAGCTGCTCTCACCCATGCAGATCTAAGGATAATCCCGAGTAAACAGAAGTTCATAGTTAGCTGAAGATTAAGATTGAGTTACCTAGGCCATCAAAGTCGAGACAGTCAGTTTCAAAAAGTAAACGGTGTTATAAAGTAAAAGTAACTATCTCATGGTCCGGTCTTATGCAAACTCTTTGTACGGGACGCCTCCACTCGCATGTCTTCATATGAACAAATTACAATCACATTGTTTGTACTAACTACAAAGTGGACCGTATTCATAGTGTCCGAGAATAAGACGTTTACCTATATTCCTATACTATATACCATTTAGACGGTTAACCTCTATATTTTTAGGCTACATTATCTTATCATTATGTTTGACATTATTATGTTTTTAAATAAAAATTCCATAAAATAAACACTCCTTGCCATTTTGAAAACTATATATATATATTAATATGATTTCAATTTGATCTACAATCTTCCTCGGTCCCTCTCCAGTCTCCACACGTCCCATTTCCACAGTTAAATTTGCAGAGACGAACCACCACCTACCTCCGCCGTGGACTCCGCCGCCGGCAACCAAAATGGACGGCGAACTCATCAGCTTCACCAAGGTATGGACC